CGACACCTCTATCCTCCAAACTTCTCCAGGCCTTGATTGGTATGTCATCTGGACCCATTTCTTCAATCCCATCTTCCTCAGAGCCTCTTTAACTTCTGTCATTTGGATCCTTCTTACAAAATCTCGATTTACCATATAATCTGGTATAGTCAAATCACCAATACCATGCGCTTTGTTCCCGTCGAATAATGTATCAAAGTATGACATCCGCCTCTCTTTTATTTCTCCGTCTTCCATTAGTATCCTTTGATCGACATCCTTCACACACTTAACTTTGCCGATATCTTGACTCCAATGATCACGAAGACGAGCAAGTCTATAAATATCTTTTTCTCCTTCCTTAGAGTCCAAGTTTTCATACAACTCCTTGTTCACTTCCCCTCGTGTTTCCTCTAGGGCTTTCTTTGTTTTTCTTTTAGCCTCCTTGTATGCTTCTATGTTCTCATCACTCCAACTTGTTCCCAACTTTTTGTAGCAATCTCTTTTGTTCCTTATGGCCTGTTTCACCTCATCATTCCACTAAGATGTGTCCTTTTTTGTGGCACACATTCTTTAGATTCTCCAAGTACCTCTTTGACACTTTGTTAACGGTCAACTCCATTGATAAGGACACATCATCCATATGTGCTTCATTATCAATACGCCATACATCTTAACCAAACATTTTGTGTGTAAAGCTTTGTTGGAGATCCCCATCGAGCTTCCACCACTTTATCTTTGGCTCCACTTGTTGTTTAACTTGTTTTCTACTCCTTCTGGTCCTAAATAAACTTCATAGTTGACTTCACGATTTTTAAGAAAGTGGAATTAATGCTTTTGACTTTCCCATCACACCCTTACACGATTTTATGTGTAGTGGGAGAGAGAAAGTGGGTGTAAACTAGGTAATAAAGTAAAGGTATTAGGGTAACTTTATATTAAAAAGTTATGAAAAACAGAAGTGTGAAGTTTATTTTGGACCTGTCCAAAAAGGAAAGTGTGAAGTTTATTTAGTACAGGAGGGAGTATTATTCTTACCTCGAAAATGAAGCACAAACATCCTATGCTGAGTGACAACACTCTCACCTAGGATAACCTTACAATCAGTGTAGCTAGTTCTCCAAGTAGTCCGTACTAAGAAGTAGTCAATTTGGATACTTTTAGATCCACTTCTATTGGTCACGAGGTGAGAGTCTCTTTTCTTAAACCAAGTGTTTAGTATAGCTAACCCATACGTCGAGGCAAAATCCAAGATGTTCTTTAACGCTTTATTTCTAGTGCCAAAACCATGTCTATCATAAATACTCTCAAAGCCATCACGACTCGGGCCCACATCCCCGTTGAGGTCGCCTCCTATGACCAACTTCTCTCCTCTTGGCACTCGTCGCACCACATCCTCAAGATCTACCTAGAACTGTTGAGTTGTAGATGTATCCAATCACATTTGTGGTGCATATGCACTCACCACGAACACAATATCACACCTTATCACTAATTTAATTCTCATGATGTGATCATTCTTCCTAAAGACTTCCACTACATCTTAAACATAGTCACACGTCACAATAATGCCTACCCCATTTCTTGTCTTATCTCTCCCCGAATACCACAACTTAAAACCTCCGGGATTAATCTCGCGTGCTTTCTCTCCAAGCCACTTAGTTTCTTGCACATACATAATGCTGATATTCCATCTCCTCATAACTTCGATTACCTCGAAAGATCTTCCTATAAGAGACCCAACACTCCATGCCCCGAAACGCAATCTAGCACTCCACCTTCTGTTCTTAACCCCACCTCGGACCCACCATGCCCTTGCATATTTGATATCATCCCTTGGCAATGGGATGACGTGTCATTTCCGGGCGATGACCTAGAAACCTTAACATTCTTATCACCACACCCAGACCTATGAAGTATAGTGCACCCTTGTATATTTGACACCACCCATAGGCGAAAGAACCCGATCGATTATTGCAGATACATGACCGGGTACACGAGCAAATTTTCAAATCTTCATTTTTTCTTGTTCCTTTGCACATTCCTTGGTCTTTTATGGTCCATTCTTGACCCTTTGGATGAGCTTGACCTATTTAAAGCTCAGAATAATCCTAATCTAACCAAATTACAAATACCTAGAAGACTAAAGTATTACACCAAAAGTTTGTAATTTTCACAATAACAACCAATGAAAACTAGTAAAAAGTACAATCATCTCGATTCTTCATTAGTGCAATCACACACTAATTATCAACATAAGATGTGACGTACATGATCAATCTTGTTAAATATATACCAGATCACTCAATAACCCACACACCATATTCCCTGGCAAGCTATTTCCATGGCCGCCATAAATTCAGCTTCATATGAGGACAATACAGCACTACTCCGGAACTTCTGTGAGGCCAAAGTAACAAGGTTAATTGTTATTGAGGTAGAAATCCATCCCACCAGTGCTCTTCCTATCCTCAATATCCCTAACCAGATTGTTTCTCATCTTCCTTTGAGTACACAAGTCTAAGACTGATTGTTCCGTTAACATACCTTAAATATATGTTTCACGGCTTGATGATGTAATATAACAAGTTTCTACACATACCTACTCACTACGCCTACTGCATAAGCAAGGTCATGACAAGTGCGAGTTAAGTACATAAGGTTGCCAACAATGCTTTTGAATTGAGTTGCATCCTCGGATTGTCCTTGTTCATAGGATAGAGTTGCAGTCCAACATCCCAGCTTTCTCTGAAATCTTTTTAGCATATGATTTGAACATGAGTTGCCCCTCTGATTGCTTGACCTTAATTTCAAGATAGTATGACAAGAGCCCAAGATTACTGATTTGAACTCCTTATTCATTTTGTCTTTGAACTCCTTATACAAGTACGCACCAATGATCAAAGCTTCCACTGCCATATATCAAGTGTAGACAGCTTGTTCATAAGGACATCTTTTGAATTCAAGCTTCTTTAAACACTTGTGATAGTAGAGAATACTCACCTCGGATTACAACTTATCGTTCTTAATTGGTTTCATTAAATCGACTGAATGCTACTATTTAGACCAATATATGACACATGTTCTACATTGACTAATATTAAAAATTATTAATGAATATGTCTCGTTATTAATAAGTAATAACTATCCTTGATGTATTGGACGATTTAATTTCCACGGTTAAGTATTCATAAAAGGAAAGTTAAAGTAGTAACCATGATAAATAAGGACTTCACTAAGTGGAAAATAGCAAAACACAAGGCTGATTACCTTTGATATTTTAATTCATACATAATGTTTTCATACATAGTGTTTTATTAAAATTTCTTTCTCAATTATTACTATATTCAAATCACCCTTTCGATTGCTTTGATTTCTTACGCTTACACACACACGAGAAGCACATTTCTCTTTAGATATGAACTCTACTACGTACGCTATAATAAGATTTAGTGCTTAGTGTTGAATTTATTTTGAACCACAAGCGAATTTAATGCTCTCAATGACATACCGATGCTATTCATTGGGGTATTTTGTCATAGTCACATAATAGTAGTCACTTTAGCTAAAGGGTATAAAAGTCAGTTTAATAAAAAATTTAAAACTAATCATAGTTGTATACTTGTATCCATAGTTTCCTTATTAGTACTCTGTATTATTTTTGTCAAAATTGCTTTCAATAAATACTTCATCCATCGCATGAAACTTGGCGAATATAGTTTGACATTTCTTAGTCAGTTATAATAAATTTTGGACACTTACTTCGGTTACTAATACCTAGTATTATATTTGTATGAAACTTGTTATAACTAATACGGATTACTTTTTTAGAAGTATTTTAAATAAAGAACATTCACATATATTTCATATTTGAAATAATTTTGTATTCTATATATATATTAAAAAACACCATATCATTGGTGAAACTTGACAATAGTTGACCATAAAAATTGTATATATGGTTAAGCTTTTTAGGATGGAGTTACTAACATAGTCTTTATTCTTTGGGCGGCTACCATTTGAATAAATAGATGGTCCTTATAAGAAAATTTATTACGTCATGTCATATTTTAATTTGAACATCATCTATACATACACCGTATTTAATGAGGTACCATACCAATAATAAATTAAATTAACTCAAATCATTATTTCATCATTAGTAATATTTAAATTATTTAATTTCAATATTTCAATTAGCCCATCACTTTTCTAATTATTAGTAATATTTAAGTCAAGTAAAGTCGTTACGGTAGGAATTGTCTTATGAAAATTCCCTAAACACCACTAAAATTTAAACAAAATGCATAAATAGGATTATTATTGTTTTTCCTAGAATATGTCTCCAACTCCGGAATGCGGAAATTGTATACTCTCGATAGGATCAATTAATTCATATTTTGAATGTACATTTTGTCTATATTTTCGTCAGGGCCATTCAATGCAATTACTACTTTTTTATATAGGTAGAAATTATTGGTTTTCCATCATTTAAAATGTAAACAAAGACGCACTATTTTTTGACGTAGGAATATTATGAAATAAAATAAAATGGCTCACTAAATTGTTTGCGTTTCTTTGTTAAGAAGCATCCGTCAGTCCATGCATGATGCATTATTCGACACGATTTTTATTATGCGTCATCCCGTAAACATAAGGTAAGACTATATATCCGTCCCTCCTACCCAATTAATGATGATAATTGGTGTAACCTGGCTTTTCGTAATTGTACTTGAATATGTGCAATCCTCGCCGCTTGCCGATTGTAATCGGGACAAACTCGCATGCACAAGAACAGTCGAATTCTCTGGAGAACTCATGACAGCAATGAGTGAATGCATGAAATTGCTAATAATGGAGATTGATGTCAGAATCCATGCATGAAATGCTTACTATACGCGGCGAGCATGCTTTCAACCATCCACCACGTATCCTTAACATTGGACACCTGTCCCATCCATGCATCTCCAAACCCCCTATATATACACTCCTCCCATCCATCCTTCATCATCATCAAAAGTCAAGAATCGAAAAGTATCTCAAGAAAGCCATGGCAAACAAAACAGCGTCCACAGTTCTCATAGCATTCGCCGTCCTCCTCGTGTCCGCCTTCGCCGCCCTGGGCACGGCGTCGAGGGAGCCGGAGCAGCTGGAGATATGCCGCCAAAAATGCAGAATTCAGACGGTGCTTGACCCGTCGCAGAGACAGTCCTGTTACAGCAAGTGCCTTAGCCGGGAGAGAGAAGGGCGGAGAGAGAGAGAGGAGGAGGGGCATGGGCAGGAGGAGCAAGGAGAGGACAGTCCTTTCGTGTTCCGGCCACGTCACTTCCTGACCGCGCATTCCTCCGACCGGGGCAGGCTTTCGATTCTGCAGAAGTTTTCGGAGCGGTCAAACCTTTTCCTTAACATCGAGCCTTTCCGCCTCGGAGTTCTCGAGGTGGAGCCGAAAACCTTTGCTCTGCCGAACCACATTGATGCTGACTTGATTTGCTTCATTGCTAATGGTACACCTAAAACTCCTTTAAATACTCAATTTAATTGCCATGATAGAATTTGACTAGTAAAAGATAATAAAGAAAATTCTTAATGGATATAAAATGGAGATAATTTCTTAAACATGATTAATATAGAGACCAGATTAATAAACATAATTAATTTCTCATTGAATACGTTTGGAATGTAGGGAGGGGAATAGTGAATATTATTCAGGAGAACAGGAGGCGTATCTTCAACATCACTGAAGGCGAGATTGTGGTCATCCCAGCCGGAGCAACCACTTACCTAATCAACCCCGACAATGACAGAAAGCTGGTCGTAGTTAAGCTAATCCGAACAATTTCCTCCCCCGGCCGTTTTGAGGTAATGAAATAGCGATTATTTTAAGGTTTTCTTTTTTTTGGAACATAAGAAAATCAAATCTTTTGTATAGTTTTCTAACAAAGATTATTATCGTTTTTGTAGTACTTCTTTGGGTCAATGTTTTTGAACGCATTTAGCTCGAGCATAAGGGAAGCGGCTTATAAGGACGCAAAGAAGGAGACATTGGACAGAGTCCTGATGAGGGGTCAAGATCAGGAACCTTTCTTGGAAATATCGGACCAACAACTTAAGTCAATTGTCCGACAGGAAGAACAGGACGATGTTATTGGGTGGCCCTTCTTGGCTGCTGCTGACAAGTCTTCCAAGAAAAGAACCATCAATATCTTCGAACACAAAACCATTTCCAACAGATTTGGTGAACTCTTTGAAATCGTTAATGATGAATTCAATGACATCCAAATCTCCTTCGCCAACATCACTGATGTAAGTCTCCTCTATTTCAGTATTATTGCTATTTAGGGCAATCACTTCGATATTTATTTCTCTAACAAAACTTCTTGGATATATGTGTAGGGTGGAATGTTAGGACCCCTCTTCGACACCAGAGGAGTGAAGCTAATGTTCGTGGTGGAAGGAGAAGGGCAGATGGAGATGGCGGTGCCGTCCTCCCAGACAGACAGCTCCAGCCGCAGCGGCTCATCCGAGAGAGGCAGCACCACCAGCCCGAGCTTCGAAAGAATAAGCACAAGACTCTTCCCAGGAACAGTGATCGTGAACCCGGCCGGGCACCCGTACGTGAACGTGGCGGAGCGGAGGAGCCTGAAGGTCCTATGCTTCCACATAAACGCCCGGAACAACGAGAAGGTGGCGCTCACCGGGAAGAACAACGTGTTCATGAAGTTTGACAGGATCGCGGAGGACATTGCCTTCGGCGGCAGCCGGAAGGACGTGGAACAGGTGTTCGGAAGCAACAGTGATTATGAGCTGTTCTTCAAGGGGCCCAGGGAGGAGCGTCGTGCGGTTGAGTAAGAAGAAATGAGAAGGGAGATCTTGCACGAACGTCTTTTGCATGAATGAATAGTGTAGTGGTTTGGCTGGCCTGCCTTGTACTGCATAAGCCAGTTTTTATGTTTAAATTCAAATGAATGAATAAGCGGAGATGTAAATCATTTCGGGGAGGACGTTTTGCATAAATAATAAATTATGGTTTTTCCCTTATAATTATGGCCCGTTTTGTTACTTCTCATTCCTTTTTTATTTGTTTTAGTTGAGTCATTCTTAAACATGTTTGCGTACAAAGATTTCTTGAATATAATTATGAGTTTCAACTGACTTCAAATGTTAATAGTGTAGATTAGAAGTCATTGGAAGTCATTGCCATCCCATCATAATTGAAGATGTGGTTTTAGTTAAAGTTGATGACCGTCTTCCTCACATTGCTCCTACTACAGACGACGGAGCTATATGTGGCAACCATAGCTGCGGACGCGACTCTCTGGAAACGGCTGGATGCTGTGGTCTTGCAATGAATATACGGAACCATCTCTACAGAGCTTCTTCACGCCATCCTTCTCAAAGATGGCACCGCCTCTGCCGCTTGGACCCGCCTGGCCGGAGTCGATGTTTCAAGAAGAAGAACTCACCGACCTCAATTTTGAGAATTAGCTATTGCAATCATATCAAGTTAATTTCCAAACGCCTTGCCAATGTTGATGCTTCCGTTCCCAACAGCCGTCTTGCTCTCAAACTAACCGGAGAGGCTTACGCCAGCACTGTTGATTTCGTTCAAAACCAGGCTGCTTCTGAAAGTTGTCGTTCTCGCTTGAAGCTGACCGAACGCACCATCAAAATCCGACAAGCGAAGGAGGGCGGCAAGCGGTCTCATCTGATGCTCCGCAGGTTGGTCCTTCGGCGGCGTCCACTGCTTCTCTCAATCCTTCAGAAATTAGAATAATAATGAGAGAATTCGTGAGTAAAAAAGTTTTGAAATTCCAAAATAGGACTATCATATTTTTATTCCCTGAATAGTAGTAAATTTCTGCCAAGTTTGGTAAACATGATACTCCTATTTTGGAAAACGTTTTTGCTTCTATTTAGGGTAATTTCTAAATAATAATAAGTCTAGAGGACCTAAGCGAGCGAATGGTAAGGGCCCAAATATTAGACCCTCATTTAAGCCTAATTGGGCAGCAGAACCTTGGATCACTTGAAATCCTTGTACAGCCCAGTGGCCCATATCTCCTTCTTGCCCATATCCCTCCTCCCCTTGGGCTCCTTGGGCTCCTAGATGAGTTGTACGTTCTACTGGTCCGGGTATTCTTGGTTCCCACCTCAAGCATATAGTGCCTCTGTTATCCATATTGAAGCGGGCATGCATGCTCTATCTTTTTTCCTATATGGACAATATGGACAGCGGATCAAGGTATTTTTTCCTTTCATTTCAATTCGAGCATTAAAAATCAGAATATTATTGTTGGTAGCGGTGACTTAATTCCAATTATTGGTTACGGTAGTACTTTATCCCATGTATAATCTCCCTTTACCTCGAACAATGTCTTACATTCCCCTAAATTAATTAAAAGTCTTACATTTGTCCGTAAATTCACCACCGACAGTATGGTTTCTATTACTTTTGACGAATGTTCTAAAAGGCGCTAGGCGCGGGTGCAAGCCCATCGCCTAGCGCCTAGGCGGCTAGACGGGCGCCTAGGCGGCTAGGCGGACTCCTAGGCGGGGATTAGTCGGAGACATAGAAATTGCATTTTTATCTAAATTTTTGCATAAATGTGATAAATAATATTATATTTTTGAGTTAATAAAATACACACACATAAGTTACTAAACATGAATGATAGAATTATCACATGTAATCATACGTAGTATATGATAACTAATCATTAACTTCATTAACTTCATTATCTTATAAATATAAATAAGAGAAAACTCTCAAATAAACCCTCGTACTTCGGACAATTTCTTAATTAAGCTCTCGTACTTCCGAAACACCCAATCAAGCTCCTAAACTCTTAAAAAATGTTCAATTGAGCTTTTTTGCCAGTACATAGCCGGTTTCCCGGTTAGCTATGTACGTGGCGGGCCATGTGGGAGACGACGTGGCAAATGTTTAATTGTTTAATTTTTTTGGCTTTCTCTTTCTTTATTTTCTTCGTTCCTGATACCCATCTTCCTCGCACGGATCTGATGAAACTTTCTTCAGGGGCTTTGACCTTCATTGCCGGTACTCCTGGGTGAACTACAAAAGAGATTGATTGCTAGAGTAATCTTCCTCGGATTAATCGTGGTCTTCATCACCAATCATCAAATATAGAAGAGCTTGTGGTTCCTTGCCTGGTTATCATCCTCTGCGGCGGCGGAGGTTGTTTTTCAGCCATTGAAGCGGAGGTTTGGGCTACTGTAAAATGACCTCTTTCGGACCTTGAATTTGGACATCGGCAGCGGACCTTGGATGTCACCGGAAGAACACTCCTGTGCCAGAGATTTTTTTCCCCAAATCTGAACCCCTTTGTCGGACATTTCTGAATTCCTTCACTCTTCGGCAACTCGTTCTCTTGATCTTCCATATTCCCAGCCCTAAACTCCCCTTCACAGTAGCTCTTGAAGGCCACAAGAACTCCCCTTCAATGGCCCAAATGTTCCATAATAAATTAATAATGGTTTAACCATGGATATATTATACAATAATAATATAAGAGTAAAAACTATCTTGAACACGTGGAAGAGGGGATGTGAACGGCGAGCTATAGCAGGCTTGGAGCAAAGATGATGAACAGAGAGAGATTTCCGCAGTTGGGAGAAGAAGGGGGATAGCCAGGTCATGTTAAGTTGTCCGGTAATTGAAGGCCACGTGGGAGTCCAGGTTAGCTTATAACTGGTAAACAGGTTGTGAACCGGCTAATAATCCTAATGCGATGTACTCATCTGGGTAAATATGTAAAGACAGACCCAAATGCTACAGGTATTCTGAAACCGATCAAGAAATCCAACAGCTGGAGGCGAGATGTACAACGTGATGCTCGCCCCAGAAATGATGTATATAACCCTCCCAGAGACGAATCGGAAGGTTCGGGGAACCCGGGTAAAAAACCCATGATGGAGGTAAATGTGATATTTAGGGGTGGGGAGACAGGCGACTCGAACGCCGAACGGAAGAAGTTCGAGCGGAGCCTGTATGTGGGTTCTGCAGCCATGCCACCCCAGAAGAAAAGAAGGACGGACCCCATCACTTTTGGGCCCACAGATTTGCCAAACTCGCCCAGTCCACATAGGGATGAGTTGGTTGTAAGTATGTGCATAGACGAGGCTTTAATTCGTCGAGTGTTGGTCGATACAGGAAGTAGCGTTAACGTATTGTACCTACAATCGTTCGAGAAAATGGGCCTCCAGAAAAATCAGCTGACCACCTGAGGACACCACCGGCAAGCTTCACCGGGAATTGCATCGAAGCAGAGGGGACCATCCAATTGATGGTTGAGATTGGAGATGAAACGCACAGGGCATCAGTCCGAATGACGTTCGTAGTGGTGGATATCAAATGTGCCCACAACGCCATTTTGGGCCGACCGGGATTGGAAGATTTGGAGGCAATAGCCTCTGTCCGCCACTCATGTATCAAATTCCCCACGGACACTGGGGTTGGGGTGGCCAGAACTGATCCAACTACAGCCTGAATGTGCTATCGGGAGGCCTTGAAAAACATGAATGCCCGAGGCATGCGGGTTAACAGCATCAAAGTCGAAGCCCGCCGAATGGAGTTCTAGGCACATCCTGAGCCTGCCACCCTCCTCGAACAAATTGACCTGAATTGTCCCCCCGATCGGAAGGTGGCCATCGGGGCAGATCTGGAGGCTGAAATTGGGGAGGGTATAATAATAGTACTGAAAAAGTTTCAGGTATTATTTGCCCAAGGCCCAGAAGATATGCCGGGTATTGACCCGGACATGATTTGCCACAAGCTAGCCGTTCGATCTGATGGAAAGCCTGTTCAGCAAAAGAAAAGATACCAGGCGACCGAACGACGTGATTTCACAAAACAAGAGGTGGCCACCTTGCTGAGGATAAAACACATTCGACCGATGATCCATGTGGAATGGTTGTCCAATGTGGTACTAGCTCCAAAGGGGTCCACCTGGAGAATGTGCGTAGATTATTTTGACTTGAATAAAGCTTGTCCCATGGACCCATATCCGGTGCCGAGGATCGATCTGTTAGTGGATGAGACGACGTGATGTGAGCTCCTAAGCTTCATGGATGCGTTCCGGGGATATCATCAAATTTTCATGCACCCGGATGACGCAGAAAAAACAGCGTTTGTAACTTCGGATGGGGTATTTTGCTATGTTGTTATGCCGTTCGGGTTGAAGAATGCAATGGCTACTTTCCAAAGGATGATTGGAATTCTGTTCAAAGAAGTATTGGGGGTCACAATGGAGGCCTATGTTGATGACATCCTGATCAAAAGCCGGAAAAAGGAGAGCCATATCCTGGATATAGAAAGGGTGTTCGGGATAATGCAGAAAGCAAACATGAGGTTGAACCCCAAAAAATGTGCCTTTGCCGTTAAGGGGGGCAAATTTTTGGGATACATGATGAGTGAGAGGGGCGTTGAGCCTAATCCTGAGAAGGTAAAGGCGGTCATGGATATGGAGGCTCCAAGGAACCTGAAGGAGGTTCAGAGATTGACCGGTCGATTAGCAGTCCTGAGCAGGTTCTTGTCCAAACTGGCTGATCGGGCAATTCCATTTTTTCAGATCATGAAAAAAGCAAACCCCTTTGAATGGACTACCGAATGCCAAACGGCCTTCGAGGAGTTCAAGTTGTATCTATCTTCTCCCCTGGTATTAACAAAAGCTGACCCAGGGGAACATCTTTATATGTACCTTGTTGTGGTCGATCTAGCCGTGAGTTCTGTGTTGCTAAAAGAAGAAGATGGCATCCAGAGGCCTATATATTTTGTGAGTAAAGCCCTGAACGGCCCAGAGACTAGGTACACACTGATGGAGAAAACGGTGTTGGCCCTAATAGCAGCCATCAAACGGCTTGCACCTTATTTCCAGGCACATCCGATAACCGTATATACAACACAACCACTAGCCACCATCATGAGAAATCCGATGGCTAGCGGGTGCATCACCAAGTGGAGTCTTCTGATCGGGCAGTATGAGATGGACTTTAGACCTCGACCCACTATCAAAGGCTAGGCATTGACTGATTTTAT